GACTTCTCTAAGAGTTGATACTAATATTACTGGTTTAAGAATTAGGCTACTGTAAATAAAACAAGACCCATCTTGAGTAAACTTTTTTATTATTACTATTATAGATGTTAAAAGTATTATATTAGGTGTTCGGGGAATTTGGTTTTGTAAATATCAAGCATATAGTTTTCATGTTAGGAAAAAAAAGACAAACAAAAAGGGCCAACTACCCAAAGATTTTATTTCAAATGGTGAAGGGAAGCACAAGCAGAAGTGAGAGCTGCTGTATGCCTGTCACACTAAAGCAGCACAATAATATTGGTGTTTAATATTTATTTCACTACGCCAATATTTACGTGCTGCTAGAGCGGAACAAGTATGTCAGATATCCGAACATAAAATGAACATGTGATGATAACCATACCAATTAGAATGAATTTCCTTAAATTTCTAGAGCAGCAAATAATGATTCGCATCTTGACTATAGTATGTAAACCATGATGTGCTGCTATAGTACTTTAAGGTTCCAAATAACAGGATTCAAACAGAAGAACACTCTTTCAAGCTTTATTACAAAATAAGAATTAAAAACCAAGAACCTTGGAAGTTTTTATAAACTTACCTGCAATATTAAAAATCGATTATGGTCCAAGTCAATCCCATGGCTTCTAAGAAGATTTCCAACATCTTTGAATGTCCTCTTCTTCCCACTTATATGATAGACAGAAGTGTTATCTCTGTAGGCTGTTCTAGATACACAGAAGTTACTGTTAGGAACAACTTCATAATCATCCCCTTCCTGTTTTAGGAAAAACAAAACCAGAAGTCGGTTGGTATTCAGTCACAGATCTGGTCCAGATTTCATCTACTTTATACTGAAATCAATTCAATGGGTTAAATATTTCGTAAAAATTTTCTTGTATTTTCTGACAAACACACACACACACAATTTGTCCTTATCTCCCCTGAATTAAATATATATACAAACTGACAATTGTTCTAAAATGAATTAAAAAAATTGCTTTATCAGGGACTAAATACTTCTAAGTTGTTCGGTTTCTTTCTCAAAGATCTCTAAAACTAAAAGTCAAATCAACTAAACAAAATTTAGCTTTAAACAAGCCAAAAACCATATCTGAATAAGAGCCAAGGGAGGTGGACAAGAGTCCCACCGTTCCTAAAACAACCCTACCCTACTCAACCTTGGAACCAGGTTTACTGGTTAAAAAGCTATGCAGGAAGAAACAATTTAAGGAAAATATTAAAGGGAAACTTGTTTTGGTGGTGGTCTTGTGGGGGAGAACAGCTTGTCAGTTGAGGTGTGTGTCACAATGCAAGATACCCTTTGCACCTTCCTGAACAGCATTCCTGTCATTAATTGAAAGTTAAACTGTAACAATCTCACAATTATATACCTGATAAAGAGAAACAATTATGAATCTATGTTAGCATTAAAGTTCATTCATTTTAAGGCACTGTCATATTCAATTTTAGATGAATCAAAATTAACAGGCATTGGATATCTGATTTATTGACAATCTATTTTCTAACTCAAAAGCAAACAGAATTAATTAAGAAGATTAAGATAGATGCGTCTGTTAAATTAAATATCTCTAAATAACAATCCCCAGCACCTAAGTTATCTAACCACTTCATCATGTGCATTCCTTTATTCTTTTCTAGATTCTTTTCAGTTGCTTATTGAATCATTAACTGTCTAGGCCAATAAGTAAAGACATGAGAAAAACCATCCACAGAATCATACAAATAACCTGATTATTTGTAATTCTATTTCTAGAAAACAAAAACAGTAGTCTGCCCCGTATCATTTTAAACGAAACAAAAAAACACCACAGTAGTTCAAACCTTAGAAAATTTCTTTCAGTTCATCTCACACACATACACACTGCTACTAAAAATACATTTAATGTACATTGAAATACTGTAATCATTTGCTGATTTGCAAATGATTACAGTCTAAAGAGATAAAAAGTGTAACTTAAAAATGAAGCCTGTATTTATAGTGAATGCTTATTTAGATCCCCAATAATCAGTTTTCTTCCAAAGAGTTGAAGTGAATATGGTCACAGAAGTAATATTCCTTTTGCTTTAATTATACGTAAAATGTAAGAAACAATTCAGATCTATAACAAAATGTGCTATGCCAAAGTTTCTTTTTCTTGCTTGAACTTACAAGTAGAAAATAACTTCTTACCTTATCAATTATCTTTTGGAAATGAACTTCTACAGTACAACTCTGAATATCCTTGTGTTCATCAGAATTATGTATCAATACCGACAGTTTTTTAGACCTTATTTTTTGTGCTCGATAGCCAAACACAAAAAGCATGGAATCAATGACATTGGATTTTCCACTGCCATTTGGCCCAATAATACAGGAAAAGCGCTGTATAAAAATAAATGTAAAAAATTTATATTTAAACATTCACACGAATTCTATTAATTTAAAAAAACTAAAGGCATTTAAAAGCTTCCGTTATTAGAAAACACATAATTTGAGTTTTCTTTCTCTTTAGAAATAAAAGCAGTTTAAGAAAAGGAAAGCACTCCAAGAATGAGCGAGCTGAGGGAAAAGCATTCATTCCAAAAAACCCACTTTGAGTTTTCTCACATCATGTTCTGCTCTAGCACAAGCTTTAACATTTTAAATAAAACCATATTCAAATTCTAACCCAGACATTTTACAAAAGCCATTACAACTGCCAACGGGAAAACACCCCCTTTTAATGAAAAGACACTAGATAAAGAAAAACTAATTCCTGTTGTTGAAAGCATAGGCAACATATTTATGTGTGTTTATTAGGCTGGGTGGGGGAGGAGAGGGTGTAAAGAGCCAGGATAGTTAGAAAGCCGAAATATTTTGCAATAAAGATGTTCTTTGAATGGGCAAATACCTTATGGAAAGGTCCCAGAATTTTCTCTCCAGCATAGGACTTGAAGTTTTGGTTTACAATGTGAGTTATCATTAGACGAGGAGCCCCAGCTTCACTGGCCATTGCAGGAGGTGGGGGTGGAGGAATACTATTCAAAATCTCTTCTAAACTTCTGTTATCAAGTTCCTCACCTGCAGTCTCTAGGTTAACGGAAAGGCAGAGGGGAAAGCCTACGTTAGTGGAGGCCGATTGCTTGCCAGTCTTAAAGAATGGAATGGAGGGATGTTATTTAGGAAACTAGGAATCTATCTTCCACAAATGCATCCTAAATATGGGGATGGATAATATTTCACCTTAGTTTCACGAACAACAAAATTCGTGAAAGAAAGCACCAGTCATAAAATTCACTATTCTTTCTTTTATCATAGTCAAAAAAATCACACCATAAAGCAAACCCGCGAATATCCAACAAATGGATTCCCTGCTTCCTACATTGAACGGGAGATGCAACCCAAACGACAGCACTTAAGCAGCACACAAGCTTCAGTAACATGGTCACAGGAGTTTCACGGACGCTCTTAATTCCTACACTCGGAATGCTGCACAACCTCAAATTCTATTTTCTCTTTGAAGGCAATCTAAGGGGTCCCGCTGATTTGTCTTTCCCTTGCAGGAGACTCGCGTTCCGTCCCTAGCACCCACAGCGGGCGGCTTGACTGCTCGTAACTCCGGGTCCCTGCCTCCCACGTACGTGCACCCCTCAACACAGACGCACTTTGAAAAGGAAAAGTTGACAGCGCACCAAGGAAAGGCAATGCAAGCCTGAGGCTGGAGCGGAGGCGCTCAGAAACCCCGCGCTGACCACTCCGCTTTCCGCCGTCGGTGCCGCTCCCACCCCAGAAGCCCCCGGCCCCCCTCACCCGTCCCAGGCCGCCGCGGCCACGCCAGCCGCCCCCGCACTCACTCATTCACTCACCCGCAGCGGCCGCGCTGTCCGCCGCGCCGGCCGGCGGCTCGGGGTCCCCGTCGCCGTGGGCGCCGTCCGGGGAGGGCGGCGGCGCTTCCTCCTGGCGGCAGACCGAGGCCGGCCTGGTGCCCTTACGCCGCATGGTGGCTGCTGCGGCGGGAGAGAGCTGGAGTCAGGTCGGCCAGCCGCCGCCGCCGCCGGGCGGGCTCCGCCCAGGACCCACCCGCCCCGCGTCCGTGCCCGCTCACACCGCGGCGGCGCCCGGGAGGCCGGGCTCCCCTCGTCCCCGCCGAGCGGGAAAAGCCTGCGGCGCCCGGGGCGGCCGCGCCTGGCCGGGGAGAGTCGCCGCCGTCCCCCGCCCCGCTGTCCCCTCCCCTCGCGGCCGCTGCAGCAGCGGCGGGAAGGCCGCCCGCCGCCCGCTCCGCGCCGGCCACTCTCTGGGCCGGCCGGCCGGAGTCCCCCGGGCCCCGAGGAGCCGGGCCGGGCTGGCCCCGACGGGTCGCCGCGGGGGAGGGGTGACAGGCGGCGGCGCTCCCCGGGCCGCAGGCCTCCGCCCCGGCAGGCCGGGCACGGGAGGAGGGGTGACACCTGACCCTGAAGGGAAGCACGGTCCCGCCGGCGGCTCTCCTCCGCGCAGGGCTGCGAGCCTGCCCCGGCCGCCCCCGCCGCGCTCCGGCCGCTGCTCGCGGCTCCGGGTCCCTCACTCGAAAATGGCGCCGAAAATCCAAACTCGAACGGAAATTCGTTACAAACGCGCGCAGTGGTTTCTGGGAGCCGCGAATTTGAAAAAAAAAAAAAAGTGCGGCGGCGAGTCCCACCGCGGTCTTCGGGCCGCCCGCGCGCATGCGCGGGGCCCTCCCCCGGCCCCCGGGACGGTGGCGCGAGTGGGAGGTTCAGACTGGGAGGGGAGGATGAGCAGGGCCGCGCCTCTCCCGCGGTCCTCAAGAGGAGCACGGTTGTGCAGAGCGCAGCCTGCGCGCCGCCGGAACGACGGCACTTGGAATACCCGGGGATCGACGGCCGAATTTTCATAAAGAGGAAAACAAAACAAAACAAAACCCAGCCCCGCAGGGCCCCGCCCACAGCTGAAGGCGGGGCCCCGCTGTCCAATGCCACCAGTCAGTGAGAGGGCGGGCTCACCTAGGGGCGGGGCCTGGGGCCAGCTCCCGTGACTGGCACCTCGCAAGTATCGCGGGAACGGGGAACGCTCTCAGCGCTTAGGAATCACTATGGTGACGGGAAGGTCGGGAGGCTGCTTGGTAACGGGTCTTAGCTCTGGGAGCGATCGCCGCCGCTTTCTTTCCGGGAACTCGAGGTAACTTTCTTCCCTCCAGAGCCTCTGAAGAAAGGGCTTGGGAGCCGAGCGGTCAGTGGCACCTTGCCTTGAAGGCGTGGCTTTGCGGAGGATGCGTTACTGTGCGTCTTCCCGCCAGTAGGGCGCTCTCTGGGTGGAGGTCGTGGGGTGTGGAGTTTACCCGTGAAGCCAGGAGCCTGGATTGCAGAGTGATGTTGTGGTCCACATAGGCATAGCAGTGGTTTGTTAACTGTTCGTGTTAATGTCACTAATGAAAAGTTCTGGATTTAAAATAATTATTTGACCAACAGGGCTCCCAGTGGGAGAAACGATTTGCTGGTGTTGACTAGTTACCGTTATGGTGGAATTAGTTCATAAGTAGCATTTGTGTGCATTGCACTGTAAAGGAATAACCAGGATTATCAGACAGATGTGACAGTTCCTATTCCCGGAGACCTTAGTTTCGTTAATGGGCTTTTACCCGAGTTTGAGGATAGTAGTGTTGAGGATAGTAGTGGTTAGGATTGAGTTTCTAACCCTCCGAAAATTGTATACAACGTTTTGTGTGTGCTTTGTTTTCCTGGAGGGTTAATTTTCCTTTAATTTTGAAAAACCGTCTGAGTCACCCCCCAACACACACAAATGTTAAAGAATCACTGATTGATTTGACTGCCTTCAGTATTCATGCAGCAACTTTTGAATTTAGAACGGTTAGCCTCATTCTTTCTCTTTACCTGTTTAGGTCTGATACGTTAGAGCAGCAATAAACCTATTTTATGAATGGATTTACATTGTTTCTCTGAAATGACTCATAGATGCATAAACAGTTTGAGTGACTATCAGGAAGTGTTGTAGAAGAGGACACCAAGTGTAAGAGTCGCTGGGGTTTGGGGATCAGTGTGGTTTGAATAAGCATTTGCTTAATCTTATAATGTACCTTTATATTTGTAGTTGAAAATAAACGGTCTTTACAAATCAGTTGCCTCCTTAAAGCTCAATGAATGGGGGGGGGTTTGGAGGACTGGCAGGGTTACTAAGGGGGTGAACGGGTTCTCTTTAGGGGCTATGGAGTCCTTTGTATTTCCAGATGTTGTAAAATACTACAGAACGGAGTGGAAGAGATACCTGCTATGAAAAAAGCGGCCTGGGGCAGGGTGGGTGGCTGGGGTTGGAAGCACTTACTGCTCCTGCAGAAGAACCATGCTCAGTTCCTGGCACCCTTGTAGCGGCTTGTAACCATCCGTAACTCCAGTTCCAGGCATGCCCGGAGTACACAGGCATACATGCAGATAGATACTCATACGTGTAAAAACCAATATAATAAAAAGGCAGACTAGACACATTGAAGAGTGCATGTGCTAGTCAGAGCAGAATCTACCGGAAAAATGTAAGTCTGAAACACGGAGGCTGTAGAGATGATTCTCCAATAGGAACACTCTCCAATAGGAACACTCTGCTCTTGCAGAGGCCCTGGGTTTCATTCCCAGAACTGACACTGGGCAGTTCACACCTGCCTGCAAATCCAGTTCAGGGGACCCAACACCCACTTCTGGACACCAGCTGTAATAGACAAACACATGCTCACATGCAGGCACTCACATACACATTAAAAAATAGAAAGCTACCCCAGATCCTAATATTTCTTTAGTTATATGATTGGGCAATTTACTCATAAAGTGTCTCTGGGAGTGTTTGTTTGTAAAAATCAACAGACAATGTCTATCCCATCGAGTTGCTTGTAATTGATGTTACCTCTGTGACGACATTTAAAGTGTGTGCTAAGTATCAATAATGCCGTACCAAACTAGAGGAAGAGTAGCTTATGAAGGATCTCGAAAGGCAAGTCTAGAGGATGGCTATAAGCTGTGTACGGTGGCTATTTCTGTAATCCAAGCACTTGGGAGATGAGGCAGGAGGTTTGCTATGAGTTTAGACCAGCCTGGTCCACACAGTGAGTTAGTTAGAGCCAGTGCTATACAGTGTGTGTGTGTGGGGGGTGGGTTGGGGAAGTAGAACGAGGATAAGGAAAAAAGTTATCAACAAGTACTGGAGTGGGAGTGGGTTATGTCCTAGGAAAAGAGAGCAGTAATAGCTTTAGTTAGGTTGATATTAAATAGTCTTTCATGTGGTAGGGGAGGAAGGAGTGCTTATGCAATAGAAAAGAAAGAACTTATTTTAGACAATATTCCTTTTATAGGTTTTGGTGGTTAAGAGTATAAGCCCTTGCACACAGTCAAATACTGCTCTTTGTGAGTCTTTGAATTAGTGAAGAGGTAACAGGAAGACTATAAATACTAGTTTTACTAGTTTGGATGATTCCTGTCAATATGGAAAGTTTTAACAGTTAATGTAAAAAAAGTGGTTTTCAATAAATCAGTTTATGTAATGACAATGTCAAATTTAATTGAAATTTACCCATGCCCTTTCAGAACAAATATTTTTTTCCTTCTTTTTTTTGAAACAGGGTCTCATATAGCTCAGGCTGGCCTTGAATTAACTATGTAGTTTAGGCTGGCTTTGAATTTCTAATCTTCTTTCCTTCACCTCCTTAGTAGTTCTGGGATTAGAGTCAAGCATCATAATTTGTGACAGCATAAACATTTTCATAACAGCCAAAATTAAGTTACATAATGAAGAAAAGCTACAACAGAACACCTACAGAGTAGCGTAAGTCTGATTATGAACATGATGAAGTAAGACATTCAGGGATTGGCAATGTAGGCTTAGTTGGTAAAGTGATTAAGAGACCCTGACTTTGATTCTCAGCACTGAATAAAACCCATAATGGGGGGCTGGGAAGATGGCTCAGTGGTTAAGAGCACTGGCTGCTCTGCCAGAGGACTGGTGTTCAGTTCCTAGTACCCACATGGCAGCTCACAACTGTCTGTAACTCCAAGTCCAGGTTATCATCCAGGGTATCCAACACCTTCATATAGACATACATGCAGGCAAAAACACCAATGCACATGAAATAAAACAACAACAACAACAAAACCAACCCATTATGGATAGCATACTCCTGTAATGCTAGCACTCAGGTAGAAAGACGGGAATAAATAAATTCCAGATTATTTTACACAGTTGCTTTAAGGCTAGCCTGGACTTCTTTGAGATTCTATCTCGAAAAACAAAACAAAAGTTTGGGTGTGGTTGTCTAGACCTTAAATTCTATCACTCAGGGCAGAAGCAGGTGGATCTCTTTTGAGTTCAAGATCGGTCTGGTCTACCCAATGAGTTCTCAGAAACAGAAGCAAAAACAAAACAAAATAATGGAACAGGAATAAACATATTAGAGTTTTATCGTTTAAATAACAGAATAGCACCACCAGAACAATCATGTTGATGAAATACCATCTTTAGTCTCAGGCCTGCTAAGATTACAAGATGACACAATCGAAATTGCCTTGATAAAAAAAATATTGTCTCCTATAACTAAAAAGTTATATAAGCCAGCCGACCCTACCACTGTTCGTTCTTTCTTTCTTTCTTTCTTTCTTTCTTTCTTTCTTTCTTTCTTTCTTTCTTCCTCCTCCTCCTCCTCCTCCTCCTCCTCCTCCTCCTCCCCCTCCTCCTCCTCCTCCTCCTTCTTCCTTTTTGGTTTTTCAAGACAGGGTTTCTCTGTATTGTTTTAGAGGCCGTCCTGGAACTCGCTCTGTAGACCAGGCTGGCCTCGAACTCACAGAGATCCACCTGTCTCTGCCTCCCGAGTGCTGGGATTAAAGGTGTGCGCCACCAACGCCCAGCTACCTATATGTCTTATATGTATATAGTAAATTCTTCAACTAGGTGTTCTTCCTAGAGTGTATTCCTTCTACTGTATCTCCTTCTTTGAGTCAGTACCTCTAATTCAAAATAAGGCATGTATAGTATATTAGCAAAGTCAGTGTATCTGTGTCTCAGCTATAAGAAGAGCTAGAATGGAAATAGACCTCCCTCCCTCCCTCCCTCCCTCCCTCCCTCCCTCCCTCCCTCCCTCCTTCCCTCCCTCCCTCCCTCCCTCTGTCCCATCCTCCCTTCCTTCATCCCTCCCTCTCTCCCTCCCTCTGTCCCATCCTGCCTTCCTTCATCCCCCCCCTCCCTCCCTCCCTCCCTCCCTCCCTCCTTCCCTTAATAAGACTCAACGTAGGGAATTTCCCAAACATAGGACATATACTTGCTCTTGGACAGATATAAAATTGTTTAATCAGCCCTGAATTCTGGGCATGTTCCTTTGTCTACCTGGATAATAGAAAATGCTATCTTAGTTGGGTATGGTGTCACACACCTTTGATCCCAGCACTCAGGAGGCAGAGGCAGGTAGAAATATGTGAGTATGAGGTCAGCCTGGTCTACATAGTATGTTTCAGGACAGCCAAGGCTACATAGTGAGACCCTGTCTCAAAACAAACAAAACCAAACAAAAAACAAACCAAAAACCTATCTTGTCATTTAATTGTATTTGAGGCTAGGCATTACTTTATGCTTTTCATTGCCCATTTACCATGTTATGTATTTATGAACTGTAAGTCTATTAAAATAGAAATGCCTGGCCCTGGAGAGACGGCACTTGTTAAGAGCGCTCGCTGCTCTTGTGGAGAACCTGGTTCCCGGCATTTACATGGTAGTTCTTGTCTGTAACTCCAGTTTCAGGGATCCAATCCGCCTTCTTACTTCCATGGACACACACATTGTGCACATACGTGTGTATAGACATAGCATTCATACAAATAACATACATAAATGTAAAAAATAGAAGTATCGTATGTTAATTTCAGTTTCTCGTTGCTGTGAACAAATATCTGGGAGAGGCGACTGGAGGGGAAGAGTCTCTTTTGACTGTGTGGCTCAGAGGCTGTAGTCTGTTAAGTGGCCATCATGGCAGCCGTCAGTCACAACAGAGAACGTTCGTGATGGCATGGACATGGAGAAGTAAAGCCGGGGCTGTAACCCTCAAAACTTGCTCCAGTGGCCTTTTCCTCCACCAAGGCCCCTACATAAGGTTTCCTTACCCTCCAGTGTCACAAACTGGGGACCAGGGATTC